TGAAGCAATTTTAATTGTGCCTTTAGCTTGAACTACCAGGGTTATAGTATCATCTTTAGATGGAAAAATCTTTGCAAAGGTGGAATGATCTTTAAGCATTCGCATTTTGTTTGCATTTCTTTATGCTACTTCCTTATTTGATTAAAACATTGGTATCTTGTTTAAACCACCATGAGTCGTTTCTCTGTAAGTGAGACTGTGCTGACTTTACATTTTTTACTAGATACATCTTAGAAGATTGTGGATGATCTAAAACTTGGAAGCATAATGAGTTGAGAATGAGATAGTGCAGAACTTCAAAAGAAAATGGAGAAATTGGTAGAATGCATGCACAACTTACAGATGGAATTCAATGTGGAGAAGTGCGAAATGATTCATTAGTTGGAAGAACATAGATAATATGAAATATAGAGCACATTCTAAAAGGGTGTATGAGCTGAGAGATTTAGGTGTATCTATGTAAGGCATTGCAAGTTGCTGAACAGATTGAGTTAGCACTTATTAAAGCATACGCCATCAGGATTTATTAACACGGGCATAGTTTAAAAAACAAAGGTGGTTATGTTAAACTTTTATAAAATACTGGTCCAGCCTCAGCTAGAGTATTGTGTTCAGTTTAGGGCACCATATGCTTGGAAGTATGTGAGAACCTAGAGAGAGTGGAGTAAACAAACTCCATGATCATGACATCATTTAGGTTTGAAGTTTAGAGAATGTGATTGATTTCCTTGGCAAAGAGAAGATTGAGAGAAGATTTGATAAAGGTCTTCAAAATTATAAGGGATCTTGTTTCTATTGACATAGGTTTGAGAATGAGAGGGCCAAAATTCAAGGTAATTGGTGAAAAATGCTTTGAAGACATTGTTAGAAATCTATTCATGTTGTTGAGTGATGATAATTGAGAATGTTCTACCTAAGAGTGTGGTGAAGGCAGGTTCATTGAAGAAGGTGAGAATTTGGCACCGTACGAATTACTCATATAGAGACCCAGTGCTAACACAATAAGCTAAATGGTTTCCTATGCTCTAGGGAAGGAAATTCCATCCGTAAATTGTAAAGAATACATTGATACCAAGAGCATAGATGTTAGACAAAATACCATGGGCAACAAGCAACAAAGACTCCATTTTGCCATAATTCTGTAATTTCAGTTCCATTCCACCAATTCTTGCCACATACAAGAATTACAGATCAAGAAACTGTAGGGCGGCATGGTGGCTCAGTGGTTAACACTGCTGCCTCACAGCACCAGGGGCCCGGGTTTGATTCCACCCTTGGGCAACCGGCTATGTGGTGTTTGCACATTCTCCCTGTGTCTGTGTGGGTTTCCTCCAAGTGCTCTGGTTTCCTCTAGTCCAGAGATGTGCAGGCAAGGTGGCTTGGCCATGCTAAATTGCCCATAGCATTCAGGAATGTGTTGATTAGGTGGGTTATCGGGGGATGGGTCTGGGTGGGATGCTTTCAGGGTCGGTGTGGACTTGTTAGGCCGAAGGGCCTGTTTCTACACGGTAGGGATTCTAAGATCTAAGATTCACTTGGTAGCAGCATTGACTCAGAAGGTTGTGGGTTTGGGGGCTACTCCAGGACTTGAATGCAAAAATCTGAGCTACATTGATGAAATTCTGTGCTGTTAGAGGTACAGCCTCTCAGATGAAATGTTAAATTGAGGCTTTGTCTGCCCTCTGTAGTGAATGTAAAACATCCCAAAGCACTGTTTTGAAGAAGAGCTGGATTATTGGTCAATATTTATCCTTCAATTAACATCACAAGAATACCTTATTTAGTCATCATCCCTATTTGTGGGAGATTGCTATGTGTAAAGTGTGGTCATGTTTCTTGCGTAACAGTAGAGACTACAGTTACAGGTCCTCATTGTGTGGGGTCATTTAGTTTAGATGGTTAGAGTGTGGTGAAGAATAATGCCAAAAGCATGGGTTCAATTCCCATTCTGGCTGAGGTAGTTTATGGAGGTCTTCCTTCTTAGCTTTCCCCATACTTGATGTGGATTGATGCCTTGCCAATAGAGAGAGATTCGCATGTGTCTTCCTGGATTATGACTAATTACCACTCATTGGCTGTCAAGAGCTTTGGGGCATTTGGTGGTTTTGAAAGACACAATACAAATGCAAGTGTTTTGTTTGTCCCCACTCGTGTGTGTGTGTGTGTGTGTGTGTGTGTGTGTGTGTGTGTGTGTGTGTGTATTAAGTTTAACGTGTAAAACATTCAGTTGATGGACATATTGACATGGACTTAAGGTGTGCAGCTCACCTGATATGGGCCAGGAGTAGGTGAAATAAACAGACCCTTAAATCATTGGACCTCCTTGATTAAGTTACAGACTGAGACCACACTTACTGTTTGAGTGATATATTAATCTGTAGAGAAATTATGGTGAAATTTGACATTGTGCAGAGCCTCCTGATTCTTTTTCCAGTCCCTTGTATAATCATTAAGTGAATCTTCAGTCATGTTTTGGGAAGACTGTACCTGTTCTACATCACTAACATACATTATCTGAAATTGTTGAAGTACTGACATTTTTGAGATATTAGCATTGTACATTCCCCAGGAATCCCTCCCTTTTTATAAATTATACACCTCTATCAGGCATCTCTGTATTTTCTTCTTGTCAATCAACCTGTTTGGACATGTTATGACACATGTCTGTGGCCGTTATATCTCATGGTGAGCCTTGAACCTGGACCTTTTGTTCCAAAGGTGTGAACACCATGACCTCCGCAGGAGCCCCTAGTCATCCTTCACTTCCACTATTTTCTAACAGGTAACTATCAATCTTAACTCGACACCAGTATGCATATAGAAACAAAGTGTCCTTATATTGCTGGAGCAAATTACTGCAGAGCCTGGAACCTGTACTGAAAACAAAAAATGCTGGAAATCACAGTGGGTCACACAGAGAGCAAGCTAATGTTTTGAGTCTAAATGACTCTTCATCAGAGCTGAAGTGAAGTGTGGAGAGGATAGCATTTATGCAGTAGTGCGGGGCGGGGTGGGGGTTTTGGGGTGCTGGGGGATAAAGGATATTAATATTCCGATCACTTAATCTGAACTGCGAGAGTAGCAGGACAATGGTCTGTCCAACTGTCAGACTGAAAAGAACAGGCAGTACCACTTGTGTGGGAGTAGGGGAGAGAGGTCATCTTGACAGAATGTAACAAGCAAAGCTAAAAGAAAGGGAAGGAATGGGTTCACAATTTGAAGGTATTAAACTCAGTATTGAGCCCAGAAGGTTGTAAAGTGCCCAGTTTGAAGGTGAGATCTTGGTCCTCCAGTTTGCACTGTGATTCACTGGAGCATTGCAGCAAGCCGAGGACAGACACGTGGGCATGCGAGCAGGGCGCTGTGTTACAATGACCGGGTATGGAAGGTCGGGGTCATGCTTGCACACGGACTGGAGGTGTCTGCAAACGGTCACCCAGTCTGCCTTTGGTTTCTCCAATGTAGAGTAAGCCACATTGGGTGCAGCGAATACAATACACAAGATTCGAGGAGGTACAGGTGAAATGCTGCTTCACCTGGAAAGGCTGTTAAGGCCCTTGGATGGTGAGCAGGGAGGAGGTGAAGGGGCAGGTTTTGCACCTTCTGCGGTTACATGAGAAAGTGCCGTGGGAAGTGGGGAGGGTGGTATGGTATTAGTGATTGAGGAATGGACTAGGGTGTCCCTATCCCTGCGAAATGCAGACAGGGAGTTTTAAGGGGAAGATGTGTTTGGTGGTGGTGTTGTGCTGGAGTTGCCTGAAATGGTAGAGAATAATCTTTTGAATGCGGAGGCTGGTGGGATGAAAAGTGAAGACAAGGGGGACCCCAATCATGCTGTGATGAGTGATGGGAAGGGGCAAGGGTGGAAACATGAATGATAGTTTGGATGTGGTTGAGGGCCTTGTGGGCAGGTGGTTATGGAAGAAGGAAGCCATGTCAGCAACACTGTTTTGGAAGGTGACATCATCTGAACAGATGATACCATGTAGGCAAAGGAACTGGGAGAATTGAATAGAATCCTTGCAGGATGTGGGGTGGGAAGAACTGCTGCCCCTTCCACGCTTTGCTTCAGCTCTGATGAAGAGTCATTTAGACTTGAAATGTTAGGTTGCTCAATCTTCGTGGATGCTGCCTGACTCGCTGTGATCTCCAGCAACTTTTGTCGTGCTTGTATTGCTCATGATTTTCTCTGTGTCACTTGTGGAAAATTCTGCCAACGCTATCAACACTCCTTATGTTTGGATTATGTCAGGCCCTGTCTTGATAGAGAATCCCAGGTACAAGCCTTCACTCATCTGATATCCATAACATATCAGTATCACAAGGAACAGGGGAAAATAAAGTCAGAGATTTCACTGCAAAATTTATCTTGAAAATTTCACTAGTCCCAATCTCCCAACTAATTTAACTCTCTATTTTTAAGAGATACTGTCCATTAATCTGGATTCCTCCATCAGTTAAAGTACTTTCTCTGTATCTAGGCTATCAAATCATCTGTGAATCCATTCTGAAAAAGGGTCAGTACCCTAAAAGTTAACTCTGATTTCTCCACAGATGCTGCCAGACCTGCTGAGATTTTCGAGCAATTTCTGTTTTTGTTTCAGATTTCCCGCATCCACAATTCTTTTGGTTTTCTATCGAATCACTCTGTCATTTTAATGACCCCTGGAAGTTCCCAACTCATGGAAATGCAAGCCACGGTTATACAGTCAGTCTGGACAATTTAACCCTTCATGCCCTGGTCTCATTATGGTGAACCTGTATTGTAATTTTTTCAAAGCATATTATTGTGCTGGTGACCTGAACTAAATACAATCCTCCAGACCAAGTGTGATCGAGTTGCCCTTTGCGTGAAAAACATGAAAAGTTATCAAAGCATTGTCATTTCATTGATTCAGTGGTTAAAAAAGATTGCCTAATTGCAAAAAATCAAAGGAAGTTCTCATGAAGAGAAAGAGTACTGGATTGATAAATTATCAGCGTGTCTTCTTTTCCTTCAGATGTAACTATCGGTGCCTTCATGTCAGACAGTGTGGTCTTATTGAGGTAAGAACTATTTATTTCTTGTCTTAAAGCTAGGTGTTTTGTACAAAATGAGATGAAAATGTTGAGTATCTGAAATAAAAACGTTGAAAATGTGCAGCAGGTCATTAGGAGGAATGATTTTGATGTTTCAGATATCAGCTGTTTGGCCAAGTAGCTTCCATGAAAGATTACAATCAAAAATGCTTCCCTTTCTTCACAGATACTCATGTATTTACTGCATATTTTGTCCTATTTGTGAGAAATTGCCTCATGTAGCGTCACTTGTAACAGAAGTACAGAGGCTTGAATTGCTATCAGTATGCCCGCTCAAGCTACTGGTCACTTTATGTACAGTATTATGTTAGAAGGGCACACATCAGGGCCATCTTGTGTGTGCCAAAAGGATGCCAGTCTAATGTGTCACAGCCCCAACTGCTGAAGTAATACTAGTATCCTCAATTTGGAGAAAGTACATGCAGTAACCATACTTAGGATGGAGGATGGTCATCTCAACTCCAGGACATAACTGCAGAGCTCTTCAGGGTAGCGTCCTAGGTCCAACTATCTTCAGCTGCTTCACCAATGACTTTTGAATCAAAATAAGGCCATAAGTGGGTATATTTTTTTGATGACATTGCAGTGTTTAGCACGATTTGTAAGTCTCATACTGAATACGTAGTAAGACTGGCCAGCATTCACACATGGATTGAAAAGTGGTAATTCACTTCACACAGTCCCAGACAATAACCGTTTCCAACAAGTGCTTGCAAGTACTCTGCAGTGTTTTTGACATGCTTTTGGATTTGGCAGTGTGTTCGTGCATTTTCCTGTGCTGTAACAATTCTGTGATTTTCTTTATGAATCAGTCAAGATAGATGCAGATTTCAGAACAGTACAGCTAAAACTATCTCTGAGCTAAAACAATGATTTAATTATTCTATGTATATACAATAAATCTTTAATTTTGAACTGAAAGGCTTTTTGAACTTCATGCCTTTCAGAGGAAAAAGAAAACTTTAAAAAAAAATCTATCTGAATAAGGGTCAATTGTTAATTGTATAATTCAGCACTGAGTAAAAGTTTGTTCTTTGTTGTGCAAAGCGAAATAAAATGTTTAAATGTTGGTCTTGGTGCAGTTGACAGCAAACCTGCTGAGTTAGAAATTGGAAGGTTCAAGCTCCTTTCCAGGACCAGAGCATGTTGTCCAGCCTGACACACCAATGTTGGTACTGAGGAAGTGCAGATTTTTGAAGGTGCTGTCTTTCATTTGAGATGTTGAGCTGATGACCTATCTGTTCTCTCAGGTGGATGTAAAATATCCTCAGTCACTATTGAAAGAAGAGCAAGAACAGATAGTAGGATGATATGCTGGAAGAACCATCAAATGAGGCCACATGAGTATAACTGAAGAGCAAATGTAGGGCAGTATCATTACTGGGAGTATATTATTGATCCCCAAATAGTCAGAGAGATAAAACAGCCAAAATTTAGGTAATCTTGCGACAAATTGCAGAAACAGCAAGACCGTAACAGGAGGCAGTTTCTCCTGCCTTAGTAGATATAAAATCAATGGAAGGAATAGTGGCACTTTCAAAAGTACTTACGTAGCCAGTGTTTAAAAACCTTGACAGAGAAATGGTGGAGAGATAGTAGGAACTGCCGATGCTGGAGAATCTGAGATAACAAGGTGTAGAGCTGGATGAACACAGCAGGCCAAGCAGCATCAGAGGAGCAGGAAGGCTGACGTTTCGGGTCGAGACCCTTCTTCAGAAATGGCCTGCTGTGTTCATCCAGCTCTACACCTTGTTATCAGAGAAATGTTGGACCTGGATTTAGTTTAGGAAGTAAAACTGAGCATGTGGAATGAATATCATGGGAGATCCTTTGAATGGTTATAATTCATGTAGATTTAATATAATTAAAGAAAAAAATGGTAGACCAGAAATGAGAGTACTAATTCGGAAAAGGCCAGTTTTAAGCTGTGATGTGATTTGTTAATCAGGACTGGAAACTGTGACTTGAAGGTAAATCAATGTCACAGCAGAGACACATGTTCAAGGAAAGAATGTAATATTTAAAAAGAAGTGTTCCCACAAAGTAGAGGGTGGTATACCCAATTCTAGAATCTCCTTGAACGTTAAAGGTCAATACAAGGTAGGATAAGGCTTAGAGATAGCAAGAACTGCAGATGCTGGAGGAACACAGCAGGTCAGGCTTATGCCAGATACTGAAAACATTATACTGCAGAATACCCAAAAGAGTGTCGAATGTGCAAGGTGAATTTAAAAGGTACTGAGGAAGACAAAGAGAGCATATGAAAAACTATTGGCTAGAAAAAAAACTAAAGACATTTATAATTATGTAAAGAGCAAAGGGATGACTAAACAAAGGGTAGGACCTAATGAAAATCGAAAAAGTAACCTGCATGTCAGGGATGGAAAAAGTAGGTATGGTTCTTAGTGAATACCTTGCATCTGTCTTCACAACTGAGCGCACTGATGCAGGATGGAGACATTCTAGTTAAGTAAGGAGGGATATTGGATAGGATGCAGTTAGTGATAGAGGAAATAACAAGGTTATCATTTTTGAATGTATTTAAATCATTATGCCTGAATGGAATACTTGCAGGTGGTTTTTAAACAATGTAAGGAAGGAAAGACTAGAGGTTCTGCCCATCATGTTTCAATCTGTTCCTGTGTGGTTTTCTTCACTGCACCTGACGAAGAAGTAGTGCTCCGAAAACTTGTGCTTTCCAAGAAACTTGTTGGACTATAACCTGGTGTCATGTGACTTCTGACTTGTCCACCATAGCCCAGCACCACAAAATCATGAAAATGTATACAAAGAAGAGCACAAAGATGTGCAGTAATAGCTTTATACAATCACATACTTTGAAGACAGAGCTCCTCAGAGGGCTTCAAGACACCTCTGTTTACCCAGTGACATTATGTACATGTCTGGTTTCTCTTTGTCCTTTTGTTACTATATATCCTCTATAAAGTATGCCCATGAAAGATGGTACAGTTTTTCCAGAGTTGTTCTCTGCAAGTTAGGAGGAAGGGGAATAATAGTTAACTTGTGAGATTTTAGCACTGTTGGAACTGCAGGAGGTCAAATGTAAATGTTACTGTGAAGACTTCAGTCTGGGTGAAGCCAGAAATCAGCAAGCAAAGTTTGGGGCACCTTCAGAGTTCTTAAGCTCTTTACTTCTGCCTGGGGAGGCAATGGCCTAGTGGTATTATGCTGGACTGTTAATCCAGAAATCCAGGTAATGTTCTGGGGACCCAGGTTTGAATCCTGCCACAGCAGATGGTGGAATTTGAATTCAATAAAATATCTGGAATTAAGAGTCTAATAATGACTGTGAATCTATTGCCGATTGTCAGAAAAACCCAACTGACTCACTAATGTGACTCACTCCTTTAGGGAAGGAAACTGCCATCCTTACCTGGTCTGGCCTACATGTGACTCCAAACCCACAGCAATGTGGTTGACTCTGAACTGCCCTCTGGTCAATTAGGGATGGGCAATAAATGCTGGCCTAGCCAGCAATGCCCCCATCCTGTAAATGAATAAAGAGAAAAAAAAATCATGTGATCCAGGGAGCAGATGTGCCTGTTATCTATCAGTCTAACTTGTCCAGAGTACAGTAGTGATGTTGCAAGCAAGACTTTCTGGATACAATGTCAGCAAATGACTAGTACTCCTCGATAAATTAGCGCTGCAAAGTTTGATTGTTCCCCCCCATCACGCTTAGCACAATAATTGGCTGTAAAGGAGCCTAGGGAGCCACAGGGTTTTGAGAAAATGTACAAATACATTCTTCTTTTCACTATCATTGAGTATTGAAGATTGGAATGAAATTCAGCGCCAATGTTAGATTTTTCTTTGTTTATTTCCAATTGTTCCACAGATAGCTACATTAGGGGAGAAAAAAAACTTGCATTCATTTTGAAATGAAGACACTGTTGTTCTGTAGCAAACACAACAGCAGATTGCATTCAACAAAGTTTTTCAGACAACAATTGAGTAGTTAGCCTGACAGTATATTTTTGCCGAAGTGAAGTGAAATGACTTGTAATGGCTGTATTGGCACACAGATAGAATTTAACACCTCAACACGCAGAACCCAATGCTTTACCTTCTTATCCTTCAGAGAAGATTATGATCTCAAGTCTTGAACTGAAACTTGAATCCTTCTCTTCGAGGTGAGACTTCCACTAGTGAGCCAAGCATGGAACCTCGTAAATAAAAAGAATTAAAAATTGCAAAACTAATATTAATTAACCAATTTTAATTTTATGAACTGGCTAGACATTAAATGTCAAAGACAAAGGCTAAATATGTAACTCTCATGAATAACCTCCAGTGGTTCATGCGCTCATCTGGATGTGATAGACACAATCCTTCCTCCATCCCTGTATCTTTTCGAGTTAATCGCAGCATTTTTTAAATTAAGCATTGGAAAATAGTTTATTATAATAAAAAACATTTAATCTAATCCTAAATAAATAAAATGCATAAGTCCTGGACCATGGGCTGCCAAGAAAAACAGACAAGTAACCCAAGTGTTATTGATACATTGCTAAGATTCTCTGAAAATTTGGCCTGCTTCTGTTTGTACTATTCGCTTTGTTCTTGCAATGCTTCTCTGCCAAGATATACAGACATGGCATGACAAGCATAGGTCTGCAGGCGTGCTCCAAGTGTGCCAGCTGTTCTGAAACTGAGAAGCTTGTGCTCATTCAGTAAACATAATGGAAGAACATAAAGAGTCTGATTCAAATCAGGACTATCTATTGCTTTTGGCGGAAAGAAAATTCCATTTAAAAGTGTAAGCACAACTTTGTCCTGGAAAAAAAATACTAACTGAACAACAGATGATTGTTGCTATTATTACTTCCTCTTTATTACTTCCTCTTTTTCCTCTTTTTCCTCTTACTTACTCAACCTGTTAGTCTTGGCAAATTAGTTTTGCTGATTCCCACTCACTGGTGACCATTACTTTTGAACTCGTGTAATAAGGTACCAAGAGTTGCTAACAGAGCAAATAGAAAGTCCATCTAAAAGCACAAGAACATAAAAATGCAAGAAGACAAGGGATAGGAGCCAGATTAGACCATATGGTCTGCTGAATCTGCTCCAGTATTCATTATGATCTTGACAGATCTTTGGCTTCAACACCACTTTTCTGCCAACTCATAAAATCCCTTGATTCCAAAAGAGACCGAGTATTAGTCTGTCTCTGATATAAATATATTCTGTGATGGAGCCAAAACCAGGTAAGGTTCCATTAAATTGGAAAATAGTGAATGTAAGTCCTTTATTCAAAAAGGGATGGAGACACAAAGCAAGAAACTATAAGCCAGTTCACTTAACACTTATGTCATGGGGAAAATAATATCAACTACTGTTAAAGATGTTATAGCGGGGAACTTAGAAACATTCAAGGGAATCAGGCATAATTTTGTGAAAAGGAACTACAGTTTGACCAGTTTATTGGAGTTCCTTGAGGAAGTAGGTCTACTATGGATTAAGGGGAACTGGCAGATCAACTATACAGAGATTTCCAGAAAGCATTTAATATGATAACACATCAAAAGTTATTGTGAAAATAAAAGCTCACGGTGTGGAAGTTAGCAAATTGGCAAGGATAGAAGATTGACTGGTTCACGGGAAACAGTGTGCATAAATGCATCCTTTTCTATTCGGGAAAAGTGGTGTGCCACAGGTATCAGTGCTGAGTCTCAGTTTGTTACATTTATTAATGAATTGGATGAAGGGACAGAAAGTATGGTTGTCAAATTTGTTGATGATGCAAATATAGGTGCGAAGAGGATACAAGGGAGTTACAAAAGGTTATACATAGGTTAACTAAGAGGGCAAAGATAAACCAAATGGATTACATGGCAATGGGAAAGCTCCAGCATTTTGGTAAAGTAACTGAACTAGTAATCTGGTGCTTTGGGCTAATGTTCTGGGATCATGGGTTCAAATCTCACCATGGAGCTACAAATTAGTCTGATGGTAGCCAATGTAACCATTGTCATTTCTTGTTTAAAACAAAATCTGATTTATTAATTCTTTAGAGAAGGAAACTTGTTGTCCTTACTTGGTCTGGCCTACATGTACTTTCTTGTCTGCAACAATCTGATTGACTCTTAACTTCCCTTTGAAATGGCCAAGAAAGCCAATCAGTTTAAGAGTGGCTGGAGATGAACAACAAATGCTGGTTTTACCACATCAGGAAACACATCCCACTCAAGAAAAATAAATTGAGCTCCCACAAGCACCCACAAACAACAATGTGATAATGACTGATATAATCTGTTTTTGCGATGTTGTTAGAGGGATAGATATTAGCTGGGGCATTGTTCTAACATTCATTTCATTGGGCAGATGAACCTCAGTTTACCAGCTTGTGTGAAAGACCACACCTCAAACTGTACCAGAATTTCCTGGCACTTGAGAGTCAGCTTGTTTTTTTTTGTGTGCTCAGGTGCTGAGTAAGATTTAAATCTACAGATTTCTGACCCAGAGGTGAGATTGCTGATAGAGATAGTAGGAACTGCAGACGCTGGAGAATCTGAGATAACAAGGTGTAGAGCTGGATGAGCACAGCAGGCCAAGCAGCCTCAGAGGAGCAGGAATTTCTGAAGAATGGTCTAGGCCCGAAACATCAGCCTTCCTGCTCCTCTGATGCTGCTTGGCCTGCTGTGTTCATCCAGCTCTACACCTTGTTATCTGAGATTGCTGACAAGTGAGTTACAGCTGGCAAAGTTTTGTTTCCCATGTTGGTTCCCATTTTACCTGACACAGACCCATGATGGTAGATGATGATGATGATATTAATAATAATAAGAGATTTACCAGGATGTTGCCAGGAATGGAGGGTTTGAGTTATAAGCAGAGGTTGGATCTCTTTCACTGGAGCAGAGGAGGTTGAGAGGTGACCTTATAGAGGTTTATAAAATCATGATGGTATAGATAAGATGAATGGTGGATGTATTTTCTGGAGATTTCAAGACCGGCGGCTTATTTCTAAGGTGAGGGGAGAAAGATTTTAAAAAGACATGAGGAGCAATTATTTTACACAGAGTGGCTCATGTGTGGAATGAGCTTCCGGAGGAAGTGATGAATACAGGTACAGTTACAATGTTTAAAAGACATTTAGATAAGTACATGAATAAGAAATGTTTGGAGGGATATGGGCCAAGCACAGGAAAGTGGGATTAGTTTAGTTTGGTAATATGGATGGCATGGACTGTTTGGACTAAAGGGTCTGTTTCCATGATGTATGACTCTATATGTCCTTTGGGATTCAGTCTGTAGTGCTGCTACTGAGCCATTCTTGATAATGGATGTTGAAATCACTCATCCAGAATATAAACTAGGCCTTGTTACTGTCAAAATGGTGTTCAGCATTGAGGAATACCCTGATACATTAACTATGGGTAGAGAGTCTGCTATACCAACATAGATTTTTCTTGCCTGTTTGGTGTTGTGAAGCCTCATGAGTATTGATGTCAATGTTGAGGATTTGAAAACTTCCTGGCCACCACCTCCTGCACTGTGAACCATTAGACAGGGTGCATCGATGGACATGAATGAAGAAATTGTCCTGCTGGATGAGTGATGTCATTCTGAGAGTATAACTATGTTGAGCTAAGCAGTGACGCAATTTTCTCAGTTTTGTCATAAGTCACCTGGTGAGGTGGAATTTGTAAAGTTGATTGGGCAGAATGTGCTTTTGTTGTGTCCTGTGCCTAGGTGGTTCGTCAAGTTATTATAAGAAATTTTGTCGCAGTTTGATACACATAACGGACGTGATAGGCATTTCAGAGGACAACCACATTGTTGCAGTTCTGGAGTCACACATATGCCAGCTCAGACAACAGCAATCAATAGCCTTCATTGATGGGCATTAGTAGCTACAATGGATTCTTATTACAATCCACTATTTTTGTCGTTACTGCTACTGATACTCGCATTTCTAGATTTACGTTTTATGGACTTAATTTAAATGTATTTAGTTGGGGCCAAAATGCTCTGAAATTCCCCGAGAAGCTGATAAGACACTAATGATGAGTCCTTCATTCTCCTTGCAGGAGGGCCAAGTTATTTGCTATTAGTACATTTACAACATCCACCAATGATAATTACAAATTAAAAACTTACACATAGTTGAAAGGAGAAGTGTATTTGTATAGTAAATCAATGTGCTGTAAGGTGATAAATGCTAGTCTGTTACCACATCTCCATTCTACTGGTAATGATTCGTTAATTTGGGAAGGTGCTTAATGAATGCTAGATCTTCTCAAAGCAATGGATTGAAACATTAAAGAAAATCAGTTTATGCTCTTCTGATAAATACATGGAACTGTGTTGTCTATTCTTTTGGGCTGATGATCAAACCTAATGTGATATGAAAATTATTGTAACAAATAGAAATGTGAGTGTTTTTCTCGTCATCTTTGGAATTCTCTAACATTCTTTACAGGTTATAGAAATATTGATTACCCAAGAATTCTGTTTAGGTTGGCTGGAAATCTGGTTGACGTGGTGAGCAAAAGAGAACCATGTTACGCTTTTTATTGCTTTGAATCCCTCCATTACAATAGATCATTGGAATGGGAAAGGAACTGCTGGCTGTGAAAATCCAGAGGAAAAGTTGTTTACCTCTAAAAAGAAAGGAAGACTTGCATTTATTTCACACTTTCCATGATCAAAGCCCATCACAAGCACTTTACATTTGATATATTTTCTATTGAAGTGTAGTCAGTGTTGTAAAAAGGAAACATAATACCAAATTGCACATAGCAAGTTCCCACACAAATAACAAAGTGACAAAAGACCAGATAATTAGTTTCTGTGATGTTGATTCCAGATAAATATCAGCCAGGTCACCAGGGTTCTTCAGAATAGTACAATGAGATCTTTCACATCTTTCTGAGGAGGTAGGTAGGACCTTGGGTTAAAATCATTTCTGTTGGTGACTGCACTCGAATGTTAGCCTTGACCTCTGTGCTTAAGCATTGGAATGTAAACCTGAATTTTGTGGCTCAGAGGCAAGAGTTGCCACCAACTGAACCTCCACAGATGGTTTTTGGAGGCTGAGAAAAGAGAGAGGTTTCCAATTATGGGCAGGCACCAGATACATGACAGGTATAAGACATCCATGTGGAAATGGTGATGGTACAGTAGGGGTGCAGCCTCAATATTGGGTTTCTGTGCCAATTTCACTGTTCCATGCTTGAGAAAAGGTTAGCTACCCGCAACACATGAAGGAGGGAAATCTGTGATTTATTTGATCTCATGTTGAGAATGTTTCTTTTATTTTATTCCTCCTTTCCAGAGCTCGTCCGGTTATTACCCTGGAGATCTCCATTCTACTTCCTGACTCCATTAACATCACAGCTCCACAGTGCCATGATGGCATACAGCCAGTCAACTGTCTAAATGTCACCACTTGTTTCCGCTTTCATGGCAAGCACGTCCCTGGTGAAATAGGTAACAGTCTGATGATTACTTTCTTTGTGATGCTCAGTTTTTCTTTAGTCCTGTGAATATTTCCCAGGTTGACTAAGCAACTAGTGAACGGAAATATGGCCGTTTCTGCTTGACTGAATTAAGATTGAACCACTCTATTTCTTTGTTTTCCAACTGCTAGCCAATCTAGTTACAGAATGGCAGGGATAAAACATCCAACTGCTCTTAACAAACCATTCTGACAGGAGTAAATATCTGATTCCAAATACTATGGTTAACGATTGTGATTCAATGAAAATTTAAATTGTAGGTTAGCGGAATTTGATTAAGCTAGAGAATCTGACTGCGAGTCTCCTCTTTTTGAAGTTTTTAAATCATTATTTAAAGTTTGGACATACTGTTTTCAATTGGCGCATTTCAGGTGTGAAGCTTAGTGCTACCTTAAGCCATATTTATTCTTTTCTTCATTATTCATTAAATGGATTAATGTCTGCCAAAAAATACTGAATAATATACAAGCACACTAAGAATTTGCTCCTAACATGCACAAATCATAAAATATTCTTCAGTACGTCCTGATTTCTGAATTAGATGCTATGATTAGGCATTTGTAAGCTGAAGAGTATAAAGAACATGAATCAGTGTTGAAATAAGATCTTAGAACTTTGTTGACTTGTTGGCCATATACTGTTCTTAAATCAATTCCTTGAAGCAAAAAAAACTTATTGTTCAATAATCATCAAAGAACACAGAACTTATTTGAGTAAAATGTGGATGATTTATATAACTTGAATAGAAATCAGTAAGTAGGAGTTACCCAAATAAGCAGTATTACCATTAATTCAAAATCCAAAATTTGTAGATAAGATGGATTGGCCATGCTCAATTGCCTCATAGTTTCAGCCTAGGTGGGTTAACTAACGTAAATGTGGGGTTATGGGGATAGGGTGGGATGCTATTTGGAGGACCGTTGCAGACTCAATGGGCTGAATGGCCTCCATCTGCACTGTGGGGATTCTATAATTTTACAAAATCATATAAATCCTGGAAGGAATAGCTGTTGCATTCAGGCATAATTTGTAACATGTATGAAACATTTAAGGCTCCATACCATCCTGTCAAACTGCGGCCTCATTCTGTTTCAAAATTCATAACTAGGGGTTTGAATGGTCTAACATAAAATTGTGTTTTTCTCTATCCCAAAGGAAGTGGCAGAGGCTGGGGAAATAACGAGATTTAAAAGGCATCTGGATATATGAACAGGAAGGATTTAGAGGGATATGGGCCAAATGCTGGCAAATGGGACGAGATTAATTTAGGATATCTGGTCAGCATGGACGAGTTGATCCAAAGGGTCTGTTTCCGTGCTGTACAACCCTATGAGTCTATTCCATTAGTAGTTTTGGCCTGCCTCTTTATCAAGAATGCAAAGATTTGGAGAAAGACCATGGGAAAATGAGGAATGGTCAGGGATAGTAGGAACTGCAGATGCTGGAGAATCCGAGATAACAAGGTGCAGGGCTGGATGAACACAGCAGGCCAAGCAGCATCATAGGAGCAGAAAGGCTGACGTTTCGGGCCTAGACCCTTCATCAGAAAAAGGGGAGGGGAAGGGGGTTCTGAAATAAATAGGGAGAGAGTGGGAGGCGGATAGAAGATGGATAAAGGAGAAGATAGGTAGAGAGGAGACAGACCGGTCAAAGAGGCGGGGATGGAGCCAGTAAAGGTGAGTGTAGGTGGGGAGTTAGGGAGGGGATAGGTCAGTCCAGGGAGGACGGACAGGTCAAGGGGGGCGGGATGAGGTTAGTCGGTAGGAGATGGGGGTGCGGCTTGAGGTGGGAGGAGGGGATAGGTGGGAGGAAGGACAGGTTAGAGAGGCGGGGACGAGCTGGACTGGTTTTGGGATGCGGTAGGGGGAGGGGAGATTTTGAAGCTTGTGAAATCCACATTGATACCATTGGGCTGCAGGGTTCCCAAGCGGAATATGAGTTGCTGTTCCTGCAACCTTCGAGTGGCATTGTTGTGGCACTGCAGGAGGCCCAGGGTGGACATGTCATCTGAGGAATGGGAAGGGGAGTTGAAATGGTTTGCAATTGGGAGGTGCAGTTGTTTATTGCGAACCGAGCGTAGGTGTTCTGCAAAGCGGTCCCCGAGCCTCCGCTTGGTTTCCCCGATGTAGAGGAAACCACACCGGGTACAGTGGATGCAGTATACCACATTGGCAGATGTGCAGGTGAACATCTGCTTGATGTGGAAAGTCTTCTTGTGGCCTGGGATGGGGGTGAGGGAGGAGGTATGGGGGCAGGTGTAGCACTTCCTGCGGTTGCAGGGAAAAGTGCCAGGTGTGGTGGAGCTGGAGGGGAGTGTGGAGTGGACAAGGGAGTCACGAAGAGAGTGGTCCCTCCGGAAAGCAGATAAGGGTGGGGAGGGAAAGATGTCTTTGGTGGTGGGGTCAGATTACAGATGGCGGAAGTGTCGGAGGATGATGCGTTGGATCCGGAGGTTGGTGGGGTGGTACGTGAGGACGAGGGGGATTCTTTTTTGGTTCTTATTGCGTGGACGGGGTGTGAGGGATGAGTTGCGGGAGATGTGGGAGACACGGTTGAGGGCGTTCTTGACCACTGAGGGGGCGAAGTTACGGTCCTTGAAAAACGAGGACAACCGAGATGTACGGGAGTGGAATGCCTCATCCTGGGAGCAGATGCGGCGGAGGCGAAGGAATTGGGAAAGCGGATAGCATTTTTGCAGGAAGGTGGGTGGGAGGAGGAGTATTCTAGGTAAGTGTGTTTGGAATGGAGCAGAGACCAATCAGCTGCTACATTGGTTTTGTTATTTCAGTGAAATTGTGACTAAACTTTATTTACTTGTCATGGCTCCATATCCCGAATGCCGTAACTTAATCTATTAGTCTCAGTTTTGACATTTTCAGTTGACCTTGCATAAACAGTTTTTTTTTTGTGAAGGCTGTTCCAGATTTCCTTAATTGCTCCTCATGTGAAGAAGTGCTTCCTGACAACATTCCTGAATGGCTAAGCTCTAATTGTAAAGTTAGGCCTCCTCATTCTAATCTCTTCTGTCAGAGAAAATCATTTCATTCTATCTACCTTATCAAACCCTTTGATTATCTGAAAGAATTGGATTACAAAACCTCCTTATCTTCTCGACTCAAAAGAAATATAACCCGTCCTGATAATTTAACCCTTTTAGTCCTGTTATCACTGTTTTGAATCTGTACTGCATGTGACCCCAAGCCAATATGTCCCCCCTGAGGTTTCGTTTGGAATTCTGAACTAATGCAGGATTCAAAATGTGATCCAAACTGACATTTATATAATTGCAATCAAATTGTTTTCAAATATTCGTAAAGCCTCACTTCACCTTTGGAGTTCAGCTCATTTCTCCATGTTCATATCCATATAGAAACATAGAAAATAGGAGCAGGAGTAGGCCATTCAACCTTTAAAGCTTGTTTAACTATTCAATATCAGGAACAAAAACAAAGTTGCTGGAAAAGCTCAGCAGATCTGGCAGCATCTGTGAAGGAAAAGACAGAGTTAACGTTTCGGGTCCAGTGACTCTTCCTCATGTTGTTCCTGATTTACAGCATCCGCAGTTCTTTTGGTTTTTATTAACTATTCAATATGATCTGTTCCTCCTTTTCCCCCCCTATCCTTTGATGCGTTTAGTCCTTAGAACTATATCTCAACTCTTTCTTGAAAACACTCAACATTTCGACTTCAACTGCTTTCGGTCACAGTATAGACTTACTACTGTCTGGGCGAAAAAAAGTCTCCTCATCTCAGCCTTAAATGGCCTCTCCTTTATCCTTAGCCTGTGACCCCGGTTCTGGATTGCTGGTAGTCAGATACATCCTTCCTGTGTTTATCAAAAATCATTGAACCATACAGTCCAGAAGAGGACTTTTGGCCCATGTCTGCTTTGTCAAAAATCTACTCTAAATCTACACTCATCCCACGTCCCAGCGCTTGATCCAGAGACTTGAGTGTCATAGCATTTCAAGTGTTTATCCAAGTACCTTTTAAAGGTTGTGAGGTTTCCCACCACAAACACCCTTCCATACAGTGCATTCCAGATTCCCATCACCCTTTCAATTTCCTGCCTTTCACCTGAAAATTGTGCATCCTTGTTATTGACTGTTTAACTAAGCTGCTTCCTATCCACCCTGTCCATCATCATCTCATACACCTCAGTCAGGTCCCTTCTCGGCCTTCTCCATTCTAAAGAGCACAACCTGAAGTTATCCAACCTCCCTTCATAGCTTAACTGCATTAGCCCAGACAGCATCCGGTAGAATCTCTTCTGCACCCTTTCTAGTGCAACTGCATCCTTCCTACAGTGCAGTGCCCAGAACTACACACAGTACTCCAGCTGTGGCCTAACCAAAGTTTTGGACAGCTCCAACATAGCCTCCCTGCTCTTACAATATATGCTGTGACTGATAGAAGCAAGTGTCCCATGTGCCCTCTTAACCACCCTGTTAACCCATCCTGCTGTCTTCAGTGATCTGTGGACAAGCATCCCAAGGTTCCTCTGTACCTCTGAGCCATCTGGTGTCTTGCCATTCATTCATTGAGTATTCCCTTGTCTTGTTCCTTCTTCCAAAGTGCATCACCTCACACTTAGCCATGTTAAATTCCATCCACCACTGATCTGCCAAACTGGCCAATCCGTCCATACCCTTCTCTAACCAAAGACCTCCTTCTTCACTGTCAACAACTCGGCAAATTTGCTTATCATTTATATATGTCACGACCACTGATCCCTGTGGTATACCACTGGCCTCCAGTCACACAGGCCGCTTTCTACCACCACCCTCTATCTCTTACCACAAAGCAAATTTTGGATTCAACTTGCCACATTACCCTGGAGCACATGTGCTTTTACCCTCTTCTTCAGTCTCCCATATGGGACCTTGTCAAAGACTTTGCTGAAATCCGTAAAAAGTACACCAACTGCACCACCCACATCTACACACCTGGTCACCTCCTCAAAAAATTCAA